GCCTGCACTGGGGAGGTTAGAGGGTGAGGGTCGAGAGCACTACTCCAGAGGCCCCGGTTCTAATCCAGCCCCGCCCCACCCAAGCGAACTGTGCCACCCAAGCGAACTGTGCGTTCCTGGAAAAGCCGTTGCCCCACTCTGGACCTCAGTCTGTATGCCTGTTCCAAGGGGGCACAGTGGCACCTGCAGTCCTCCTCATATCTACCTGTGCTTTCCTTCCCCTTTGTGACACCCAGGCTGCTCGTGCCAGCTCTGATGATGGTGATGGTGGTGGTAGTTTATTGAGTGCTTACTATATGCCAAGGAATTACCCTGGTATATCCATTTTTCACAGAGTTGGATTCAAACCCAGGTCCAAGGGACCCCATGATGTTCCTTTGGGTCTCTTTCTTCTCATTCCCTGGGCCACTGAGTCCGCATGAGATCTGGTTGGAATCCTGACCCTGCCACTTTCTGACAGGGAGCTTGGGCAACTGACTTGGCTTTCCTGTGCCTCGGTTTCCCCATTTGCAAAATGAAGGACTTGTGCCCTTATTCAGAGGGCTAGTGTCTTCCAAGCGCTTCTCTATGCTGAGGATTTCATGTGTATCATCCTCATGACATGTTTGAAGGTGCTAGGTGAAACTGTTCGTACTGTTTTGCAGAACACTTGAGGCTCAGAGAAGTGAGCACCTTGTTCAAGGCCACAGAGAGTAAGTGACAGAGCCAGGAATCGAGCCCAGACTCTTAACAGTGCCAATATATTGCCTCATCCATGACTCAGGGCTTGGACCAGTCCCTTTCTTCCCCTGTCTTGAACCTCTTTGCCTTCCCACTTCTTCCAACCAGGAGGCAGGACAAAAGCATTTCTGAGGCCTCTGTGGCTCTGGGGTTTGATGGGCTCTCTGTTTTGAGGATCACAGTACTAGCCTGTACCCCCAGTTGGACTTGCCTTCCCCTGAAGAGTATTGTTTTGGCTCAAATTGACCTAGAACTTCGAGATCCACGCCAGGAGTTGGGGAGGCCTGGGGGACACCTGTGGGACTCAGGGCAGTGTCTACCAACTGGCACCGAATTACCTTGCTCTTTTACCCACCAGCCTGGCTATAATTGTGCATCCAGGTGAATGTCAGCCATGCCCAGGTCGAGATACTGGTCAGAGGGATGGGCGAGGTGTTGGGGGACATGGGGTGCTCCAGACTCTCCCTACACTGACAGCTGCCCCCTCTCTCCTCTTAGCCCGGCTCCAGTGCCCAGACCCAAGTCCCCCACTGCTCAATGGACACCCCCAGCCCAGACCCGTTGCCTTCGCCTTTGCCTGGGGAGGAAGAGAAACCTCTGGCCTTACCTCCTTCTGTTCCCCGGGGCCGCCGAGGCCGACGTCCGGGGGTGGCCACCTCCTCCAGTCGGACGTTCAAGGCCTGCCTCCCTCGCAAGCGGGGCCGCCCTTCCAAGTCAAGGCAGGAGCCCCCGATGACGCAGGGGGTGACAGTCCCTGTGAGCAGCGGAGGTGGCAGCGACCTCCTGCTGATCGATGATCAGGGTGTGCCCTATACAGTGTCTGAAGGGTCAGCAGCAGGAGGGCCCGAGGGCTCCGGCCCTAGGAAGGCCCCGCACTTCTGCCTGGTGTGCCTGCGGGCCTTCCCCTACCTCTCGGACCTGGAGCGCCATAGCATCTCGCACTCGGAGCTGAAGCCCCACGAGTGCAAGGACTGCGGCAAGACCTTCAAGCGGTCCAGCCACCTGCGGCGGCACTGCAACATTCATGCCGGCCTGCGACCCTTCCGCTGCCCACTCTGCCCGCGCCGCTTCCGCGAGGCGGGAGAGCTGGCCCACCACCACCGCGTCCACTCTGGGGAGCGCCCCTACCAGTGCCCTGTCTGCCGGCTGCGCTTCACGGAGGCCAATACGCTCCGGCGCCATGCCAAACGCAAGCACCCCGAGGCCATGGGGGCACCTGTGTGTCCCCCGGACCCAGGGCCTGAGCCTCCGTGGGACGACGAGGGCATCCCAGCCACTGCGGGGGCCGAGGAGGAGGAGGAGGGGGGAGAGGACCCAGAGGGGAAACAGCTGGCTTGACCCACACCCCTGGCCACCCCTCCCAAGACTGGGTTTAGGGCTGGGGGTTCAGCTGGTGTTCTGCCTGCGCAGGGAGGTCGGGACACCCTCGTGTCTGGTGGTCTCCCTATTTGCGGAAGGGGTTTCGGGTGAGGACCGAAACTTCTGGACCCTGCTGCGTTCTGCCACTTTTCCCCAGACTAACAGGGCTTCGGAGGCAGGGGCCGTGAAAATAAATCTCTGCCTTCTGGCTTCCCGTGTATGTTCAGTGAAGAGACCAAGGCTGGCCCCGCTCTTCTCCTTTTTTCAAATGTCCTTTTGTCGCTACACTACCCCAGTGGGGGTTTGCGGAACTGGGGAGGACCCCATGTCATCATGTCTCCTTAGTTTGGCGCTAAAGAGTGGCTTAGGGGAAGACTTTGTCCCTTCTATCTCCAGCAGACCCCAAATATCCACTCTAAGTAAAACATTGAACCGTCTATACAAATGTGACTTTAGGTCCCCCGCCCCCATTCCAGCCAGATTTCTGGAAATTCTGTAAGCCACCATTTTGCCCCATCTCTTCGTCCTGACCCTGTTTAGAAGGAAAAACTAAGCTGAGGATTGTGGGCAGAAGTGACAGCTTTGGTAGGAATTGCGTAGAAAGGGGTGTGGCTGGGGCGGGGTTAAGGAAGCAGGAGGTGGGACGGACTGAGTGCTAAGGCTTATTGGGCAGGTAGTTGAGGACTATGGGCGGGGCTGAAGAGATGGGGCTCTAAGAAATGGGATGGCTCAAACTGGCTTAGGGGCCGGACAGCAGAAAGTGAGAGCAATTTAGAATGGATGGGTAGAGTTTATCTGAAGGGAAGGGCTTTAGGGTAAACTGGGAGACCAAGGAGTCAGGAGCGGTGGGACTTAACGGTTAAGAGAAGTTGAGGAGTGGGCATGACTGCTATTCAGGCCAAGGGAAGACAAGTGGGTACCTAAAAGAAAAGTGACTAAGGGAAGTTCCTGCGAGAGGGGGAGCATAGCAGAATGTGCTGAATAGAACTGGGCTTAGTTGCTTGGGGTGGGGCAGAGTTAGGGGCAAGGTTTACAGAGATATGAGAGGGCCAAGCGTAAAGTGTGAGAAAACGGGCTCTGACTTTATCTTGCATCAGAATCACCTAAGGGCATTTTATTTTATTTTTAATTGAATTATAGTTGATGTACAATATATTAGCGTCAAGTGTACAACATAATGATTCAATATTTCTATACATTATGAAACGATCATGAAAGTCTAGTTACCATTTGTCATTATACGAAGTTATAGCAATATAGTTGACTATATATTCCTTTATGTTGCACAACCCTATGACTCATTTTATACCTGGAAGTTTGTGCCTCACCTGAAGGGTATTTTAAAATGCAGATCCCTAGACGCTACCCTCAGGGTTTCTGATTCACAAATTCTGGGGCGGGGAGCCTGAGAATTTAATTTCTAACAATTTCCAGGGTGATGATGCTGCTGCTGGTCTCCAGGTCATTTGAGAACCACCGATTTAAGGGACTACCTTAAAAGTGCGAGGCACAAAGATCACATTGAAGTTGTGGGGTGGGGGAGAACTTAAAAACTATGGGGCGGAAGGGACGGGGGTTTAACACAGGAGGCGTGGTTGAGCCTAAGAAGCTTGGAGGGGCAGGCTCTACAAGGGAGGCGTGGCTGAGGGTGGGGCTTAGGAGGAAGAGGTGGGATTTAGAGAGTAGGGGCAGGTATGGGGGTGGGGAATAACAAAATTCTCGGGGCTGGTGTAAGGAGGATAACTATTGAGTTGGTGGGCGGGCCTCGTGATTATTAAGCTCTGAATGAGCGTGATTCAGACCTTGGGGCGGGGATTAAGAGTGAGGTTTGCTCGAGGGGCGTGGTTTAACCGATGACGGAAGAGTGGGCGGTGCCCTAAGAAGGAGCGGGCGCTCAGAGCGCAGGCGCAACTTGCTCAGCTCGCTCACCGGAAGTGGTCTAGGCTTTCCCCGCCTGCATCCCCGATCCAGCACGCAGGCGCACTTTTTTCCCCGGGTCGCCGCCGCTGCCGCCGCCGCCGCCGCCGCCGCCGCCGCGCCTCCGCCTCCTCCTCTTCCTCTTTCCTCTCCACGCCGGCGCCTCGGAGACAGGCGCGACTTCCGCTTCCGGGCAGGCGGGCAGGCAGGCAGGCGGCGCGGAGCTGCCGGAGGGGGGGGCGGCACTTCCGGTCAGGCCCTCGGGTCTCCCCGGAGCTGCGGCGCCTCCTCCGCCTCCTTGGTTTCCTCCCGGCGGAGACCCCGGCGCCGGTGAGTGACGGGGCGCGTGGCCGGGGGCCCAAGGACAAGGGGGTCGGGGGTTTCCGCCCAGGCCCGCTCTGGTTCTCAGAACGTCTCCATCAGTGCTTCTTCCACCGGGCCCTCGCCAGGGGTCCCCCATCACTGCTCCTGCATAAGAGCACCCCCGATATCTGCCCCGTTAACGCCCCCACGTAAGACGGCTGCCATAGCTCCCTCATTCGTGGCGCTCCCCTAAACTGCTGCCAGGATCCCACAATAGTGCTTTCTCGTGGAATCCCGTCTGCATAGACCCCAGTCATTGCTTCCTGCAGGACATCCCCCAAATGCCACCAGCGTTGCCCTCCCCCACGCAGGGTAGCTACCCGTAAACTTTCCTTTAGCCCTTGTAGGTTGCCCCCCAACAGTGTTGCATTAGTGCTTTACAGCAGAACTGCCCTCCTATTATCTCCACACAACAGCCCCCCTAAGCTTCTAACCCCGCCAGTGCCTCCTTCATTGGTGTAAAAATACTTTTTCTTCTGGTCATTCGTAAAGAATGCCTTTATTCGTTCTACACGCCCCCCCCCTCGCCCCCGCAAGTAATTCCCCCTCGAAAATACCCCTTTCAACCCCCTACCCCGTAGAAGGGCTCCCTCTAGAGGTGTGTTCTCATACCCACATACTGTTCCTCTTCAGGTAGAAGTAGCTACCAGTTTAGCCTCAGGCTCCCACCCCATCTCTCTCCTGGTCAGCTCCTGTCTTTGGTCCTTCCTCCTACAGGGCAGTGCCCCTCAGTAAGGCCTCCCCTCAGAATGTGCCTCTTTTTGGCACAATGCTTATCCTGACCTGCCCCTTCTGACCCAGCTCATACTCTGTCCTCCTGGACTCCCTAGAGAAGGCCTCCAGCTTCACTGGCACGTGAACTCTTGCTTTCCCAGGCATGCATTCATTTGTTCGTTCTGGATGTGCACTGTTCTAGGTCCACGGCATACAACTGTGAGGGAGAGAGATGCACTAAGTCTTCATTTTTGTGGGTTTTTACTGTCTACTTGAGAAGACAGACCAAAAACAAACAAGATAAACACTGCTTTCTGGGTTCCCTGAGCCTGGTGAACTGCTTCAGAGGTGAAACCTGACTTAGCAGAGCTTATTTAGTTGTGCAAAGATCTGGGTGAACTGTTCCAGGCAGAGGGAAGAGCAGCGCAAAGGTCCTGAGGTAGCCATGATTATGGCGAGTAGAGGGGTGGCAGAGGAGGCCTGTGAGGTTGGAGCAGAGGAATTGAAGGGATGATTGAGGGGAGAGAAGGTTTGATCTCCAGGCCTTGGAGGTGAGGGCATTGCAATCAGTTATCTGGCCTCTGTCAGCTCTACCAAGCCCAGAATGTACTTCATTTGTTCATTCCTTGTTCAACACCTGCTTAATGACCACCTGCTACACAGCAGGCATGCAGGAGAGAACAAAATAGACAAAAACCTTTGACCTCGTGAAGTGCGTATGCTAGTTCATGGGGCAGGCAATTAAAAAACAATAGCTGTGTGTGAAGAAAATACAGTAGGATGAGTGTATAGGGTTTCAGGAGCTACAGTGTCAGACAGAGTGGCAGGAAGACCTTTATAAGATATTGTTATCTTGTCCCTCCAAAAAGCCATGTACCAAAAAGTTATCCCCTCCTCCTGGACAACTGTGGTCCCCCCTACCCTAAGAATGGAATGGTTAACCGGATGAGCCCTGTGTGCCACTAGTGTTCATATCTCTGAGCAAGCCACTCCCTCTTCAAGCCTCAGTCTCACTTATTTAACAGGTATTTTTGGAGACAGGCACTGTGCTAGGTCCTGGGAATAAAGCAGTGAACAAAACAGAAAAATCCTTGTGTGCATGGAGTTTACCTTCTGGAGAGGGAGACCACTACCACCGAGACAAGCAGAATTTATGGTTTATTAGGTGATGGTAAGGAGAGAAATGGAGCAGGCTGGGGAGAACCAGTGTGCTGGTCTGGGTGACAGGTTGCAGTGGTCATGGAGAGCCTCACTGAGAAGATGACATTTGAGGAATGACATGAAAGAGGTGAAGGAAGTGTATATGTGGAAGTCAGAGCATTCCAGGCAGAAGCAACAGCCAGTGCAAAGGGCCTGGGGCAGGAATGGAGCTGGCACATTGGAGGCCATGTGCATCATCATAAGGACTTTGACTTTGTGTGAGAAGGAGGTCACTGCAGGGTTTGAGCAGAGGAGGGACATGCTTTGGTCTTAGTCCTCCTGTTTATAAATTATGAGTCTGTTGTGAAGTTTGATTGAGACAAGCCACATAAGGGACCTAGTATAGATAGCATTCGGTGTATGCTAGTGGCTAGTTCTGGGGTTGGGTACCAGGGAAGTGGATGTAACAAAGTATATTTGCAGTAAAAGGTGGAGTGGGGACCTTCCTTTTCTTTGGAGAAGTATTGAAAGACAGCATGTTTTAGCAGTAACAGCACCCACTCTGGAGTCCCACTGCCTGCCTTCAATTCCTGGCCCTGCCACTTGTTAATGGTGTGACTTCAGCAGATTAATTTACTTCTCTGATCCTCAGTCCCTGTCTCTGTAAAACTGAGTTAATAATTGTAATCATCTTCTATGGTTATTGGGAAGATTCATTGAATCAGCACATGTAAAGGATTTAGACATGTACTTGGTATGTGGAAACTATTGTTACTCATAGACAAATTTCATCACAAGGCAGCTAGTTGCAGGGGAAAGGTGCACAGGTCCTGGAGTCAGACGCAGAATCCCAGACTTGCTTTCCCCTTTACTGTCTATGTGACTTTGGGGAAATGACTTTCTTCCGTTTCCCCACTTACAAAATGAGACCAATAACAGTACAGGACTATTGTGATGCATCCTTGTCAAACTGGTCTAACAGTAAATGTGCTGTTAGGATTGTGACTGTGGTTGCTGTGGGACTCCTGCCCCTTGGGACCATTCTCCCATCACGTCTCTGCAGGAAACCCTCCCATGACACATCTCCCTTTGGAAAGTCACCAGTGTAAGGCTTAGATCCCCTGAATATGGAAATGTCTCTTATTTCCCAGTGAAATAATCGTGAGTCCAATCAGTTCTGTCCCCAGGAACACCTTCTGCTCCTCTGTCAGGAGGAACCCTTCAGCATCTGCCTACCTGCCCTGCAGGCCCTGCTTACAACATCAGTGCCCTCTGGATTCCTTTTCCTGGGGAACCCCCCTAGATGTCAGCCCCATCTCTGCTAAATGTTTCCCTCCCTTCCTTGGGGAGTTCTGGTCACCTTAGTCTCATCCCTTCACCCATTCAGCAAATATTTATTAATGTAGGCATTTACAGCTATAAGTTTACCTCTGAGCACTGCTTTAGCTGCATCTCCCACATATGTTACATTTCCATTTTCATTCATTAATCTCTCTATGGACCCATTGGTAATTTAGGAGGGTGCTGTTTCATTCCCACATATCAAATATTTATGGAACACCCACACTGTGCCACACCCTGTGTTAGGTGCTGGGGCATAGCAGTGAACACAGTGGGCTAAGTCCTCACTGTTAGGTGAGGAGGACAGGCAGGAAACACACAGCAGAGGAAATAGACACAGTTGGTGGCGATGACCATGATGAAAAAGAAATGCAGCAGGATGAGGGCCTAGCGAGTGATGGGGTAGGGGGTGGGGTGTCACCTCTCTTGGAGGTGATATCTGAGCAGAGACCAGAAGCGGGCAAGGGAGAGAGCCTTTAGATCTGGGGAAGAACATTCTAGGCAGATGACAGTCTCAAAACATCACTGTTCTGTCTGCTCAGGATGGTGACCACCTCTGTCTCCTATCCAGCCCCTCAAAACTGAGAGAGCACTCCAAGTAAGGGTCCTACAGCCACAGTTCTACCTTACAGAATAACCCTGGGGGAAAACCTTATGGGGGGAGGGTCACAGACTTGCTCTGTGGCCTTGCGCAAGTCACTTCACCTTTCTGTGCCTTGTGTTCTCATTTGTCATGGTCTTGTAGAGTTGTGGTGGCATTCATTGAGTCAATATGTGCGACATGCTCAGAATGGCAGCTGGCCTGTAGGAAGTGCCCAGTCAAAGGTAGCTGTTAGTAGTATACGCTCTGATGGAGGTGAGACCGGGCACTGGCTTGCCCCAGATACCTTCCCTCCTTTCCTCTCCTCCCAGTGCTGTGTGCTCTCTCCATGCCCACCAGCCATTCCATTCCTGTCTCCTCACTGAGGTTCCACTCCCATGCCAGCCATGCTTTTGCTCCTTCTGGAGATTAGATGAATCAGAGGGTGTGAAGGACATGGGATGTTGGGTCTCCTCCAAGGACACCCAGAGCAGGAGGCTAAAAATAGCACCTCCGGGTAGGGGTGGAGGAGACACCTTTCACCTGTGGGGGAGAGAGCCAGCCTGACAGAAGGGGGCCGACAGGCCCTGGCAGGCTCCACTGACCCCAGCCTTGGGCCAGGCTCAGTGCCATGCCCCTAGGAGGCAGAAACAGGGACGGTAGCCAAGAAGCAGCCAGATCTCGGGGACCCTTCTCCCACTGGCTCACCTCCAACTTGGCAGAGGCGTTCGCCAAGGCCCCTGGATGGGTCCGAGGCTGGGCAGGGGCAGACATGGACAGCTGCAGTCTGGAATTAAAAGTCCAGGAAAGGAAGTGCCCAGAGAATGACCACCATCTCAGAGGGGGCGGAAAAAGGCACCCTGAGTGCCTGCCATCAGGCTCCGCCCTGGTGAATGATGCACTGAAGGCACAAAGAGCTCCAGGGACCAAGTGAGCTCTGCCAACCAGTGTGTTCCTGTGTATCCTGTTTTATCCCCACTTAAATCCCCCTGCAGTCTAGGGGTGACTGCCCCTTTTGAAATGGAGAAAGGGGAGGAGATGGGACTTGGTCTGCCCAGGCCCACGTGTTTCCTCTTGTGCCAGGCTGCCTTCTCTTTCTGCCAGCCCCCTGGTGTAACCTGTTTGTCCCAGGCCAGCAGATTCTCCTCCTCAGCTTGTAGGAAAAGAACGCACCCCTCCCAACACCGTCTTCACTCTGGTTCTCTTGGTTTGGGCTCACTTTCTGTTCCTACCAGTAGCAACAGTGACAGTAGTATAATACCTTCCGCTTATCAGGGGCTTACAGAGCACCAGGGACCAGCCACCTGAGGGCCTTGTTATATTAGCAGCCCTGTGAGGTAGGGATGTGCTTTGTTACCTTCATTTGTGGATGAGGAAACCCAGGCACAGAGAGGTCCAGTAACTTGCCTGTGGTCACACAGATTCTACTCTGGCCTTCTGGCTCCAGAGGCCACTTGGAAACCACTCTGATAGACACTGCTGTTATGATTAGACCGGCGACCTAAGTGACTGAGTACAGAGGGTTGGTGTGTGGGGTGGGGTGAGACACAGCAAGACCAAAGAGCTTGCAGAGAGGACTGAACCAGGGTGCCCAGTGCTGGGAGAACTCAAGTCCAGAAGGGGAGGAAGCTGAGGCCCACAGGCCATACTGCCGATAGGGGTTGGTGAGATGTGTGAGGACTCAGAGAAAGGACAGATGGGTGACAGTCTCCCGCAGCCCCTTATTGCCATCCTGCATCCTGAGCCACCTCCTCTCCTCCGCAGGGTCTCACGTCCCGCTTGGCAGAGATGGAGGCGAATGCTGCTGCTGGCAGCGGAGGGGGCGGCGGCAGCATTGGGGGTGAGGACGGGGTGCACTTCCAGAGCTACCCCTTTGACTTCCTGGAGTTCCTCAACCACCAGCGCTTTGAGCCCATGGAGCTGTATGGGGAGCATGCCAAGGCGGTGGCGGCACTGCCCTGCACCCCTGGGCCTCCGCCGCAGCCACCGCCGCAGCCACCGCCACCGCAGTATGACTACCCTTCCCCGGCCACTTTTAAGCCCAAGGCTGAGGCCCCTTCGGCGGCAGCGGCGGCATCCTCCTCCTCGTCGTCTTCCCAAGCCAAGAAGGCCGAGCCGCCCCTGCCGCCAGCCTTTGGAGCGCCCCCGCCCCCGCTCTTCGACGCTGCTTTCCCTGCCCCGCAGTGGGGCATCGTAGACCTTTCTGGACACCAGCACTTATTTGGGAACCTGAAACGTGGAGGCCCTGGGTCCGGACCAGGGGTGACTCCAGGGTTGGCCAGTGCTGCGGGGACACCTGGGCCGCTCCCTGCGCCCTCACAAACTCCACCAGGCCCCACCGCCGGGGCAGTCTGCGACCCCACTAAGGACGACAAGGGCTACTTCCGCCGGCTGAAGTACCTGATGGAGCGGCGCTTCCCCTGTGGTGTGTGCCAGAAGTCCTTCAAGCAGTCCTCGCACCTGGTCCAGCACATGCTGGTACACTCGGGGGAGAGGCCCTACGAGTGCGGCGTCTGCGGCCGCACCTACAATCATGTTTCCAGCCTCATACGCCACCGCCGCTGCCACAAAGACGTGCCGCCGGCCTCTGGGGCCCCGCCACAGCCGGTCGCGCCTCTCCCACCGCTGGGCCTACCCACACCACCCGCCGCTGGGGCAGGCGCCCCCACCCCAGCCCCCTCCGGCCAGCCCGCCACGCCTGCGGCCTCAGCTGATGGGAATGCAGCCCCTGGAGCCCCAGCAGGCGCAGGGGCGCCCCCTCCGGCCACGGGGGGCGGTGAGGGCCCCTTTGCCTGCCCGCTGTGCTGGAAGGTCTTCAAGAAGCCCAGCCACCTGCACCAGCACCAGATCATCCACACAGGCGAGAAGCCCTTTTCGTGCTCCGTGTGCAGCAAGAGCTTCAACCGCAGGGAGAGCCTCAAGCGCCACGTGAAGACGCACTCGGCCGACCTGCTGCGCCTGCCCTGTGGGGTCTGCGGCAAGGCTTTCCGCGATGCCGCCTACCTGCTTAAGCACCAGGCGGCGCACGCGGGCGCGGCGGGGCCCCGTCCTGTGTACCCCTGCGACCTGTGCGGCAAGTCCTACTCTGCGCCACAGAGCCTACTCCGCCACAAGGCTGCGCACGCGCCACCTGCTGCCCCAGACGCACCCAAGGACGCGGCAGCCTCTGTCCCACAGCCTGCGCCCGCCTTCCCTGCGGGCCCCTACCTGCTGCCGCCCGATGCCCCCGCCACCGACAGCGAGAAGGCTGCAGCGGCCGCAGCGGCTGTGGTGTACGGTGCCGTGCCCGTGCCGCTCCTGGGCGCGCACCCGCTGCTGCTTGGCGGTGCGGGCACAAGTGGGACAGGCGGCGCGGGCGCCAGCGGCCCTGGAAAGACATTCTGCTGTGGCATCTGTGGGCGCGGCTTCGGGCGCCGTGAGACCCTAAAGCGCCATGAGCGTATCCACACGGGCGAGAAGCCGCACCAGTGCCCGGTGTGTGGAAAGCGCTTCCGCGAGTCTTTTCACTTGAGCAAGCACCACGTGGTGCACACCCGCGAGCGCCCCTACAAGTGCGAGCTGTGCGGCAAGGTCTTCGGCTACCCGCAGAGCCTTACACGCCACCGGCAGGTGCACCGACTGCAGCTGCCTTGCGCCCTGGCTGGGGCCGCCGGCCTTCCTACCACACAGGGCGCCACAGGCGCCTGCGGGCCAGGTTCCTCGGCCACTTCTGCTGGGGCTGCTGAGAGCCTGAGCTACGCCTGCTCTGACTGCGGTGAGCACTTCCCGGATCTGTTCCACGTCATGAGCCACAAGGAGGCCCACATGGCCGAGAAGCCGTATGGCTGCGATGCCTGCGGCAAGACCTTCGGCTTCATTGAGAACCTCATGTGGCACAAGCTGGTCCACCAGGCTGCCCCAGAGCGACTGCTCCCACCCACGCCCGGTGGCGCGCAGACCTCAGAGGGCTCCACTGGCGCCGAGGCGGTCAGTGTGCTGGACAACGGGCTGGCGGGGGAGGTGGGGGCAGCCGTGGCGGCACTGGCAGGGGTGTCTGGGGGCGATGACGCCGGTGGGGTGGCGGGAGCAGGAGCTGGCGGAGGCACCAGCTCGGGCCCCGAGCGCTTCAGCTGTGCTACCTGCGGCCAGAGCTTCAAGCACTTCCTGGGTCTGGTCACTCACAAGTATGTGCACCTGGTGCGGCGGACCCTGGGCTGCGGCCTTTGTGGCCAGAGCTTCGCCGGTGCCTACGACCTGCTCCTGCACCGGCGCAGCCACCGGCAGAAGCGGGGCTTCCGCTGCCCGGTGTGTGGCAAGCGCTTCTGGGAGGCGGCTCTGCTGATGCGCCATCAGCGCTGCCACACAGAGCAGCGGCCCTACAGGTGCGGCGTGTGTGGCCGAGGCTTCTTGCGGTCCTGGTATCTGCGGCAGCACCGCGTGGTGCACACAGGCGAGCGGGCCTTCAAGTGCGGGGTGTGTGCCAAGCGCTTTGCGCAGTCGTCCAGCTTGGCTGAACACCGGCGGCTGCACGCTGTGGCCCGGCCCCAGCGCTGCGGTGCGTGCGGCAAGACCTTCCGCTACCGCTCCAACTTGCTGGAGCACCAACGGCTGCACCTGGGCGAGCGCGCCTACCGCTGCGAGCACTGCGGCAAGGGTTTTTTCTACTTGAGCTCCGTGCTGCGCCACCAGCGTGCCCATGAGCCGCCGCGGCCTGAGCTCCGCTGTCCGGCCTGCCTCAAGGCCTTCAAGGATCCCGGCTACTTTCGCAAGCACCTGGCGGCCCACCAGGGCGGCCGGCCCTTTCGCTGCTCCTCCTGCGGTGAGGGCTTTGCCAACACCTACGGCCTCAAGAAACACCGCCTGGCCCACAAGGCTGAGGGCCTTGGAACGCCTGGAGTGGTGGCCAGCACTTTGGCCGGGAAGGAGGCCTGACCAGCGGGGCTTCCTATCCACCACTCCAGTCAGATATCGCCTTCCAGACTTGCCCTGCACTGGCTGCAGGTCAGACTCTGCCCCTTTCTCGCGGTTGCTCCTCCATCCTTCAGAACTTCAGACAGACTAGCCTTCTTCAAGGCCATGCTGTACAAACTCAAGGCTGAATTACTCCTGACTTGGACCCCTCTGGCCCTCCTCTCATCTCATCTAACACTGAACTTGACCCTGTGTCCAACCCCATTTTGTAACCCTCATTAGCCTGGCGCCCCAGCAGCATTCTGTCCCGCACAAGCCTCTGTGGAGGTAGGCTTGAACTGCCCCTCCCCCTTCCTTTGGGATCCAGCTGGACAGTGGGATGTGAGTGGGGAGGGCGCAGGGGGCCTGGGTCCTCTTTTGGATTGTGGGGTGGGGGGTGGGGTGGCAGACGTGGCTTGTACAGAGCAGAGATAATAAACTTTATCACCAGGGCCATGGAGTTCTTTCTTACACCCCAGGGGGAAGGGGTTAAGTGCTGGATAACAGAAGGCTGACAGCTTGTTTCCTCAGGATTTTGACTCCCCCACACACTCTCACCGTCATATTCTTTGCATGTCCTCATCCCCCGGTATTTACTGAGGGTTGACTGCATTCTGGGTGTGTCTGCAAGCTGGGCAGACAGCAGACCAAGAAGACAGGTAAGTGCTCTCAGGAATGTTCATGCCTGGATGCCTTCCCTTTCAAGTTGCCATGGCATCTGTTCCCTTGGCCCATACCTCCCCGATCTCCCTGTCTGCTGGGCCCTTCGCTGGCCACCAGGAAACACAGGACATGCTCCTTGCCCCCGAGTGAGATGGAATAGAATTCCCGGTGAGCCGTTGCAAGTTCCAGCCTTGTGTGGACTCACGGTTATGGTACAGCTTGCTATAGCACCTGTCCCTCCAGGATAATTTGGGGATGCTCCAAAAGCACTCTCACAGCCCTTATTCATGTTCTCAGAGCAGTGAGCTGCACTCCCTGCAATGTGTATTTAGTTATGCCATTTGTTAGGAAGCTGAGGTCTGAAAGAAGGATGAGGCTCCAAGGACACCTGGCAGATCCATGGTAGAGCCAGGGCTGCAGTCCCAGGGCCTCCGTGTGAAACTTAAAGGCAAAGCCGGCTCAGAGGGTACTGGGCAAGTCCAGTGTGACCACACACAAGGGTGGCCACTATGCTCTAATGGAGGCCCAGCATGAGATCTCATGCCAGCGTCCTAGGATTCAAAAGTCATATGGATGTGGAGCACCACACAGTTAAGGACATTGGGGCTTAGGGAGCATGGAATTGTTGCCTTATCAGACTGGGAGCTAAACCAGCTTCCTGGAGGAGAAACTGATGCCAAATGATGACAAAGCCCTGGGAGCTTGCCAGGTCAAGTGGGTGGTGAATTACAAGTGGAGGTTTAGTGTGTCTGGCTAAACCTTACTCTTCCATTGAGTTTCAAATAGATTAGGATGGCTGGAGGTGTTGGGGTATAGGCTGCTGGATCTAGAAGGGCCTTGAGTTCCCACTGATGAGGCTTGGATAACCCCAGAGGCTGGAAGCTGGCTGCTGCCAGGCTGGATCCAAGCCACTGACATCTTTGGATTGGCCCATGCTTAAAAAAAAAAAAAAGTTGGACTTAGTTGCCCGTACTTGAAAAAGATTTTACATAAGAACTAATGTAACTTCTAAAAATTTGGGGTGATCTAGTATTCTCCAGTCTGCCACCAGTTCCCACCACTCCTCCCAAGCCTAACTCTGAGCCCAAATGTCAGTCTTCATGTTCTACCTGTGGGTTCTGTATTTCCCTTTTGAACCTGGCCACCTTCCTCGTTCATTGACACTGCCACCTAGCTCCCACAGGCTTTCACATTTAGGACCCCTTCTCAAAGCCACATGGAGTTGTGGGTTGGTGACAAAGTTGGGATCTGTGTTTTTGAAGGACCCACATGACTGCTGGATGGAGGAGGAAGCGGGCAGGGCCTGGAGGCTGGGCTACTGTACGGGATGTGTCATCCCTACTAGAGGCCTTTGTCAGCTTGCCCACAATAGTAATGGTAAAAAGGAGCGTTCAGATTCTGAAGCGATTTCACTGGCTCAATAGTGTGAAGTCAATAAGGGATTTGCTCAGTAGAGGAGGGATGAAAGCTGAAGAGGACATTCCTAGGTGTCTAGCTCGGGTGCCAGAGGAGGTAGGAAGCGTGGGCATCTCTTTGGGGGAAATGGGGTTCTGTTTATGTTATGATTTGTCTTTAGGATACATCATGGGAATGCTGGGTGAACAGGAAGGTATGCAAATCCGGACTCCTTAATGAGTCACTAATCACAGGAGTCCCTTTATTTTGCCAACCTTCCCTGGTCCCCAGTCCCACAGCTGAACCACATCCTACTCGTGAAGAGCCAGATGCTGTCCACCCCCATTCCAAAGAGGTTTGGACAGAGGAATGCTGCAAGACCACAGGGTGGTCCCTTGAGCCCCAACCCCCAAGCACAGCAACCCAAACATAAAACTGACATTGAAAAAGCCTTCAGAAAGTCCTTTAATAGGGACAGAACTGGAGACTTCCCACCTCCAGTGCCTAAGTCCTCTCTCACCCCCACTCTCACTGCACACCACTACATGCCGCCCAGCCACCATGTCGCCATCTGCTAACCCTTCCTTGGGATAGCCTGGAACTAGGCACTATGCCCTTTGCTTCTGATTGGGAGTGGAGGAAGTTACAGAAACCTGAGGCTATTTTGTAGACCTGGGAGCCGTAGGCTCTGAGACTAAAACTTTAGGAGGGCCTGTTTGCTGTCTGGGCTTCGGTTGCCTGGGAAGAGGAGTCTGGTGGGCAAAGGAGGGACCACCATGGGAGAAGGGGTAGCAGCTCTTGGAGTCAAGATCCTTATGGTTGGTCACAATGACATCCTTGAGGCTCAAGTGCTCTTGGCTATGACTTGGGGACCCTCTGGCTTCTAGGCGATGGGATCCCAGTCTCTGTGGAGGACCTGGCTGGCGTCTTCTGCCTGAGGGTGGGTGAGTAGGTGTCCCATGTTCAGTACGACCCAGTGAGGTAGGCAAGAGGTTCCATCTATTCCACCCGAGGCCCCAAGACAGTCCAGAATTCTGCAGATGAAAGGCTGGTCAAGGACACTACAGTAGACCCTGGATGTGCCCTTCCATTCAACTCTGGCCCCCGTGAATGCACAGGCTCTGCTGTGATATGCTGTTTCTTGGGCAAGGATGACCCAAGGAGCAGGCAGATGGGGTAGTGACATCCATCCGTGGTCCTCCATTTAGCTGGACATCTACAGGACTGTATCTATGCCTTTCTTGGAATCTCTCGGAGGTGCCCTGTGGGTCTGTGGGCACCATGAACCTGGCTGTCCCTCTGCTCTCCCACACTAGCTGCTCATGGCTTTGTGTCATCTTTTCCTCAGATTCCCATCTGTCGCCTGCCTCCTTGTTCCCCCCCCCCCCCCCCCACCCCTGCAATCCACCACCTACCTCCCATATTGACGCCCAGTGTCCCTCCTCTCCCAGACTACTGGTCGACCTCCGCCTTCACTGTGGTTGTCTCTTCCACAGTGTTTCCCGCTCCACAACCATGCCCTGGCCCCTCCGCCCCCGCTGCCAGCTGGCTTCCAGAGTCTCTAAGTCCGGGACCCGGGCCGTGGAAGTGAGTGCGCTGGTGCTTGCGGAAGTTGGACGAGTTGTTGAAAGTGCGATCGCAGAGGGCGCAGCGGAAGGGGCGTTCGCCCGTGTGGATGCGGGCGTGGCCGCTCAGCACCGAGGACTGTGTGAAGCCCTTGCCGCAGACACCGCAGTGGTAGGGCCGCTCGCCCGTGTGCACGCGCTCGTGGTCGCGCATGTCCGAGGAGCGGCGGAAAGGTTTGGCGCAGAACCTGCAGGCGAAGGGCTTCCCCACCGCCGCGCCCGCAGCTGCCGCTGCCATCACCACCTCCGACCGCTCTGCGGGCACCCAGGGCCCCTGTTCCCGAGCCGCCACCGCTGCCTCTGGGGGCCTCTGAGAGGTCCCTGGCTCCACCCCATGCCGATGCTGGTGCCGCAGCAGGGGCGCCAGGGCCTTGAAGGCCCTGGGGCAGAGGGGGCAGCGGTAGGGGCGCTCTCCGGTGTGCAAGCTGTAGTGAGCGCGGAGGCTGGCGGGTCCCGGGCAGCTGTGGCCACACACATGACACCGGCTTCGGTCCCCACCCTGCCCGCCGCCCTCAGCCCCTGCCAGATGGCCATGTTCATGGAACAGCAGCTCAGAGACCAGCCGGAAAGCAGCTGGGCACAAGGCACAGTGAAGAGAACCTGGCTCGGGGGGCTCAGGTACTAGCGTGGTGTCTGTCACCTTCACCACCTGGATCTCGATGAGGTCAGTCGGGGGTGTGGCGGGGCGGTTGTCATCAGGCACCAGGACCTGGGGGTGGGGTGGGGAAGGCGACAAGGAGCCTGTGGACCTTGCCTCGACGGCCCCCCAAAGCACACCCATTTATTAAACACCCATCTCCTTTGTAGCACACTGGGCACCCCTGTTTCTAGACCCTGCTCTCCTACCTCCAGGATTCTACTATATCCCCGATAAGATTTCCTCTCCTGTCAGAAATATATCACGACCCAGTCATGTCTCTCCTCCACCCACTTAAATCAATCATTTCTTGCCTTGACCACTGAAAAAGCCTCCTGAACAGAACTTCTTAGCCTGCTCCTTACAACCCACCTCTCTAATGTCCGAATAACCTTTTGAGAACGGAAAAAAAGATCAAGTAATTTTGCCACTCAAAATTTGCCACTCAAAACTCTCGCGTGGCTCCAACTGCACTTAAAATCCAAGACCATCATCATAATATCCATGGCTCTCTGGCTCCTGCTTCTGTCTCTGACCCCAGTGTAAATATAAGCCGGCACACAGCTGACTCTGGTCTAAATTTAGCTGCCCTACCCCCAACTCTAGCAGCTCCATCTACTTCCTTTCTAGAACATAACAATAAATCTCCTTTACTGTCTCTCTCTCGTACTAGACTACAAGGTCCAAGGATGCAGTCCTTATTTGTCTGGTTCACTTATTCATCCACTGAGCCCAAGTCGGAGCTCAGTAAATGTTTGTTGGATGAATGAATGTCCTCAGTTCCTCTCCAGTCCTGAGTGGGGGAACCTGGGGGCGGTTCCGAAGTCACCTGGAGCAGTCATTTCTCCACCCCCCAAGTCCTCCCTTGGGCATTCGAGATGCATCTCTGCATCCCTTGCAAAATTGTCACCCCACCCTAACGTGGGTGCCCCCGCCCTTGTCTTTCAGGGTCACCTCAACCTTCCATCCAAGTTCGCTAGCCTCCTAATCTCTCGCTGGCCCCACCCCTCTGAAGACTCCGCCCCCTAATTAGACAAACTCAATCTCTGGGACTCTTCCCTGGACCCCTCTCCCGCCCAGATGTTCCCCACAACCTCTCCTCAGGCCTCGCCCCCACTAAGCCCCTCCCCTCCCCTCCATAGGCTCCTTCTTAAACCCCGCCCCTCTCCCAACCGAGAGGCCCCGCCCCCAGGGCCGGAGCTCTAAGAACCTCCCCCGCCCAGACCTCATAGGCCACGCCCCGCCCTGCGACCTCCTCCCGTCTCGAGCTCCCGGCTCAGACCCCTTTCTCGCCCGCACCACGTCCGGCGGCTCCGGGGATCGCGGCTCTGGGGCCGCAGAGTTCGGACTCAGGGACTCCGGGCGCGCGGCAGCCATCTTGTGCCCAGGCCCCGCCCCCCAAAGCCAGTGGTCGCTCTGGAAGGGGGTGGGGTTCGGACGGCCGTCAGAGCCACGGCGCAGGCGCCCTGGAGGGCGGGGCGGGGCTTCCAGGTGGCCTGGGTCCCCTAACTCCGGGAGGAAAAGATAGCTTTCCTTCCTAATTACTTGGTACACTCCTCCGCAAGGAGAAAGCCTGCGTGGGGCGCTGGGGAGCTGCGAGCTAACTCGAATTTCTCTGTTTAACCGAAATTGGTAGACTCCTGGCTGTCAGTTGACCCTCACCAGAATTTAATAACCTTTGTTCTCTGTTCATACTACATGTTTTTGTCGTCACCTTCTCTGCATGGCTCATGATAACGCAGTGATGCAAAGTTTACGAATGTACGGATTTCTAAGTCCGTTTACAGAAAGATTTTCTGGAAACAGCAACACTGATGGTGCTGGGATGCAGCCCAAATCCGCAGGTCGGTGTGACGTTTGGGAAAAGACGGGCGTTTTCGGCAGCACCAAGGACAGGCCTGGGCTCTTGGCCATCCACTTACTTATTCCTTGCGTGGCCTGGCAGTGTGATCTTGGATAAGTCACTATACTTCTTTGGACCATGTATACAATTTCTCATGTGTAAAACTGTAAAGCTGTTGTGAAAACTCAGTGAGAAAAGAGATGTGGAAGACTTTTGGGACACTCTTACATGTTTTTTGTGGAAAGGCATCATAGGAGGTGCCTAAACATTACGATCTATCCTAAATTCCCCATTTCTCCTCCTGGGAATGTGGTAAGATTGCATTTCTCTTTGCAGTTAGACGAGGCCATGTACTTTTCTTTGGCCAGTGCGATAGCAATGTATGTCAACTTCAGCTCATAGTGAGAGTCAGGAATGGGTCACCACATTCCATTTCTGTCATTCTATGCTTAGGGATCTGCTCGTTGACGTTAAGTTTCCAACCAGCTTAAGTTCCAGAGTATCTACAGTGAACACAACCTGGTGCTGATCTTCCTCGGAGACATACATTTAAAATACACATTTGTTGTGTCAAGCCACTGAGTTTTGGGGTGTTTATTACAGCAACATAACCTATACTATCTTGACTAACACATAAGAAGTCTTTTATTTATATTTATCTTATTATGAATTAGTTCTATATACAAACGGTATTCAGAATAATATAGACAACTTCTCACGCTCACTAATAAACTTAAAATATACGTTACATATGGAATCTAAGCCCTCTTTGTACCCCCATCCATTCTCCTCCCTCCCTCCCTCACCTGAGGTTATTAGGGTTTGCATTTTGTTTCTCATTCTCATGCATGTCTTTCTTATTTTGCTACATATATGAGATGATATGACTTTGTTCACTGTCTCCAGTGTTTTCATGGGCCCTGGCATATCTGCCTTCATGGGCCTGTTATTTCTAAAAAATATATTTAAATTATATTTCACAACCGTGTTGATATAAAGACAAAGATAAACTAGGCTGGGTTAGATTTTTCTTCAGATTTCAAAGTTTTTTTTTTAGTGGGCTCCTAAAAGTGTCATGGGCCCTAGACGTTGTATGTACCTGCTGTGGGCATTCCAAGTTTGTGTGTGTGTGTGTGTGTGTGTATGTGTGTGTGTGTGTGTGTGTGTGTGTGTGTGTGTAGATTTGTATAGCAGTTGCTAATCTTAACTACTCTGAATTGTCCACACTCATTACTTAGGGAGGGGCTTGTGCGAGGAGCCTCGAAAGTTTAAGCTTCACGGGCATCAGTTGAATTTGGGACACTAAAGGACCTTCTTCGAAATCTAGTCTCGTCCTATATAAGAGTCTTTAGTGACGCTGAGCGCGTCCGTGCCCATCTCTAAATTTCAGTCTCCGAATTGTTATCCTGACTTGCTTCTCCCAGGTGCTGAAGTGGGTGAGACATGTCGATATTTTGGTCTTTGTCGCCCCCACGAGGCTTAGGAGAGTTCCTTGTTGCAGCATGCAGTCGGTAAAGATACGATTTGTCGCCTCTAAGAGGAAGGAAGGCAGAGATTACTTCGTTCGAGTTCGCTCCCTGTTTTAGCCCCAGAAGCTGGCATGTGGGAGGCACTTAACAAATATTTGTTGAATATAATGATTGACATTCAGGTCAGTGGAACTAGAGGCTATTGGAACCCTTCCTTCGAGGTTGTGTGTTTCTGGCCGAAAGACATTCACGTGAACACCCTTCCCCTTCTTGTGGGTCGCAGCCCGACGGCCCTTTGCGCTCTCGTGTTCCCCCGCCTCCTGCGTTCCCGGAAACAGACTCCCAGGCGGCAGCTGCTCATTCCGCACCGACGGAAAGGGCCGCGCCTGGAGTCGGGGTCCCAGAGCATGATGGGGAGGGGCCCCTGGGGAGTTTGGAGCATCCTGGGGGATGGAAGACACCAGAGCCGACTGACCTGTTGAGAGGACCAAGGGGAGGACCGAGGAGGTTCGTGTCGGACGATCCCTTGGGAACACAGAAGGGACAGGAACCAGAGAGAGATGGTGGGCGGTGATGGCGTGAGTCTCCGAGGTGACGGACTTCCAGGGGAATGAAAACGCGTACTTGGTGTCACAGGACAAGCATGAAAAGATGTTGGAATTGGGGAGATAAAGACTCAGGACTTCGGGGAGGTTCTAGGAGAGAGAAGGCTTACCCTCGCAGGGCAGAAGAGGAATGCAGGGAAGACAAAACCCTCCAGGGGTTGGAAAGAGGAGATGGAAGGCAATTAAAGAAATATATAAGTCACACAGATTCTAGGGGCATGTAAGAAGGCCCTCAGCGCACCTCCCAGGAATTGGTTGATTGATGCAATAGGCCCCTGCAAATCCTGGGAATGTGACGTCGTGAAGTTCAGACAATCAAGAGTTTGGGCACACTCTCTGAGGTCCATGGCAAATCCCCCTGCTGCCTCGAGAGATGAGTTTAAGGAGCAGGGGATGGAGGATGGTACAGGGAAGCCAAGATTGGGGCAGGTTCTGTGATCACCTCGACCTTTAGCTTACTTTTCCCCACCTTCAGTTCATGCAGTTTTTCCTTCCTTTAGCTGCTTGTATTACTGAATGTAATACCCAGATCAGAAAAGGCTAGTGACTTTGCTGCTATACAGCAAACACAAAGGGCCAGAATTAGGCAACCCTTGGTTCTCTCTGGAGGCCATGAGCCTCTGCCCTCCTGAGGGCCTCCTGCCCCTGAACTGGCCCCCATGTGTTCCTCCGTCCCCTGCCCACTAACAGGAATGGTGTTCCGTATTTCTGTACATGGAGGAGGACCCCCTAGCTGGAGCTGGAGCCCCCCAAGGGCTCACTTGTCCCCAGTGCCTCCAGGTCTTCAAGAGACACCTGCCCCTGAGGAGCCCCCATGTCTGCCACTGAGCCTCCGGCTATTGTCTGCAGCGACACCTTTGAGCTACGCAGCCATCTTCTGGCATCACTTTGTACACCGGCCTGGTAGGGTTGGGTTCACACCTGCCCACAGTGTGCCGGCATTTGCAGGAGGCTGGGCAGCTTGCCCAGCACAGGTGGAAGGAATTTCCTGGATGGTGGGGAGGCCACAGGGGCTCCATAGACTCTTGTTTCTTGTACAGAGGGTAGAGGCCTCAGGTTCCTCATTCCTGAAATAGAGAATGTCTTGTGGTGACAGGCAGGAGAGTCCCCTTTGACCGCCACAGCCCCACTTTATAGCCTTGGATCAGTCACTGTCCCATTCTGGAACTCAGTTTCCCAATCTGAAAAACAGGGTACAGCCCACATTCCATATCCATTCATCCATGGGATGAATGAGACATCAGTATTACAAGTGAGCTACAAATGTCACATGCCGTACGAAAGAAGCGCATACTGTTCCATTTCTTCTTTATAGCGACTCGTGCCTGCTGAGACAGGCTCAATAAATGTTTGTTAGTTTTGATTCTTTTATAATTTCTGGGGTAGGATTGGAACCCAAATGATGTAAAAACCTCTCTTTTGAGGATGTAAGTTACTGGCCAGAGTGCTTTCCTAGGGGCACCTCCCTCTGTTCCAGAGGTCGGAGCCATCCCGGAACTCATCCCTGCAGCTACTTCTGGACCCAAAAGTTGGTTATACCTAAGTATGGAGACTGGGCTGGGACTCGAGGAAGTGGGTAGGTGCAGGACAGGTGGTATTTTTAGAGTCCTAATCAACGGAGCAATGAGGGCCCTGGGTGAGACGTGAGGGACTTGGGGTGTGGGACGCAATAGTCCCTGAGGCAGTGGGCCTCGGAGACTGAGAAGCCCTGTGAGGGAGGGTTGGGGAGACCTGGAACATGGTACAGACAGGAGGGCAGGAAGCCCGAAGAACAGATTAGTTGGACACAAGTTGACCTCAAAGCACAGGCTGGTAATCTAGGGGCATGTAAGAAGGGGAGAAGGGGTTGTTGGATAGGAACATGAAATAACGGGATGAACGGTGGATGTTGAGAAGAGAGGAAAGGTTCTTGAAGGAGGCAGGGCTCAGATTGCAGGTTGGGAGGGTTCAGGCAGCCCGAGGGAAGTGAGGGTGCTGGAGTGGGAGGCACCAGATTTGAGTGCCGTCTCCAGGTCCCAGGGCTGGAGATCCAAGGCAGTGAGTGGGTTGCCCAGCCCACGGGGTTGTTGAGAGGAGTAGGTGGGGCCCTTGTCCGAAGTTTGGAGGACATGAGTAACCAATAAGTTGTAGGTGAGGCTGGAAAGAGACAGCTGAAGGCTATGGTGTTTGTTTGATAGTGGAGGAGCTTGGGATGGGGGTCCCAGTTAGCATGAGAAGAGGTACAGGGTTTCATAATTTGAAGCGTGAACCGAGAAGTGAGACTGGCTCACTGTGGCTATCTGGTGAGGCTGGATGAGGGGCGGGATAAGAAAGGGCTGGGGTGGAGGGTGAGAGGCCTCGAATGCCAGGCTAAGGGGTTTTGACTGTAGGCGGAGCCTTGGGAGGGTCCCAAGCAGAGGCAGTGTTAGATCCTTGTGGAGCTGGTGGACTGCTGAGCATGGCATACCAGAGGTGCCCAGCCATCTTGGTAGGTGGGGCACAGAGGCTTCTGGAGGCAGAGAAGAAGCCTGGCAGCAGAGGAAGACGCATGAGCCTTTGCACCCAGAGCCACACAAGTTCAAGGTCTAGTCATAGGAGTGAGAGGTGAGGCAAAGTGGCTGGGCCACCTGAAATGCCAGATAGAGGAACTTGGGGACTTGGTCCTTAGGGGACCAGGGGCTGTGACAGGGTTTTGAATGGTGCAGAAGTTTCATCCACCACAGTTGTGAGAGAGTCTTGTTGGTTGGCATGGGAGAGGAGCCAGGGAGAAGGCTGGTAGAGGAGCCCAGGTGAGCTGGGGCTTGGGGGACGTAGGGGAGCATATAGCTTTGAGAACATTTCAGGGTGGGGGAGTGGACAGAACCTGATGCCTGCCTGGCTTTGGGCAGTGAGGAAGTGTGTGTGTGTTGGGGGTGGGGACATTTGAGGTTCCAAGCTTGTGTGCCTGGTACGGCTTCATTCTGATCATGTCCTGGAAGAGAAGTGAATTTTTTGGGGAGGATGGTGGAAATAATGCTTCGCTCTTGGATGGGGTGATCAAATTCATTCATTCATTCATTCACTCATCATGCAACCAATATTGATTTGAACCTCTACCCTCTCCTGACACCTTTGCTAGATCCTGAGGACAGAGCTGGGCCCTGCCTTTGTGGAGATGGGGAAAGGCAGGTAGTGAAACAGCAAATCAGTAAATAAGCAAGACTGTATTAGTGTCAACGTGGCACGTGAAGAAACGAACAGATTCACAAGACAGATCAGGGCATCATCTACTTGATCTATAACATAACCAGCGAAGCCTCAGTGGTGACGTGTTGTTGGAGTTGAGACCTGAGTGGCCAGAAAGGTTCTGTCTTTGTGAAGGGCTGAAAGGAACATTTCAGAGAGGGGAACAGCAAACACGAGGGCTCTGGGGAATGGGAGGGGTTGGTGGGGCAGCACTCTGATGAGTTTCCTCATCTCCAAAGTCAGCATCCTTGTGGCACCTACCTTGTGGGTCTGCTCTGAGGATGTGGTGCATTTCACAGTGGCTTGGCACCATAGTGAGGGATCAGTAAGTGTTGGTCATTGTCATTATTTCTGGGGGTGGGGGTGGGTTTATGGGTCTGAAACTCAAGGAGGTGATCTGGGCGGGAGACTCAGACTGGGTAGTTGTCTGTAGGCTGGGGTAAAGTTAACCCTTGGGGGACATCTGGCAATGTCTGTTTTAACAACCGGGAGTGGGGAGGGAAGGTGCTACTCACAGCTGGAGGGTGGAGCCCAGGGATGCTGCTCAACATCCCAGAGCCCCCACTTCCCCCCCAGCAAAGTGTCAGTAGTGAGGAGGCTGAGAAACCACGATGTGGACAGAAGGCGAACGTCACGTGTGTCACCCTTAACTCCTTCGTGCCTTCTCAGTTTACTAGTCTCCACTCTCCCCATGAAATCGCCGGACAGAAAGGACCTCAAGAAGGCTGCTGGGTAGAAACAGAACGTGCGCCACACTTAAACAAGTGAAAGGAGCTAGTGAGGCTGAGTGTAATAACATTCCCTAGGAAACCCAACATGTCCAAAGTAGAATCGGTTCAAAATGTAATCAGTACCAAAGTCATTCATGAGATCGGTTACATCTTTATTTTCCTTTGAAGTCCTGGAAATACGTCGGGAGCCCGTTTTGGCCCTTTAAGGTGGATTACAGCAGTCCCATAGGTAGGCAGCCACAAGTCACATCTTAAATCTATTTAGATTTAAACGAGGTAATGTTTAATATCCTGGTCCTCAGCCGCACTAACCATGTATTAAGTGCGCAGTAGCGCCATGTGGCCAGTTGCTGTCCCATTGGACTGCGCGCGGATCATAAAACATTTCCGTTATCGCGAAAGTTCTTTTTGCCAGTTTCCTGGGACGCAGCTCTGAACGCCTCCGGGGTCCTGGAACTGCGCGCGGAAACAGGCCACTTATCTCCCTTCCGAACTCCCAGCTGCTCTGCCAGCTGCCGGCGTCCCCCTCAGGCCCTGCCCCGAGGCGATGGACTCCGCTGGCCCCTGCGCCGTTTGCAGCGCGCTCCCGGTCTTGCTGCTACCTGCTCATGGACACACGTGACGTGCGCCTCGAGTTCACCGCGCAGCGAAAGGAAGAGCTGCAGGCGCCAGGCGTGCGGCTCCCGCGTTCATCTGCAGCGACACTGCGATCGCACTCTACGCTCAAGCTCTTCGCGCGCGCCGCCTGCGGCCGGGCCTTCGAGCGCCCCACTCCCCTGGCGCGGCCTCGGCTCACAACCACAGCATGCCTGCCCACGTCGCTTTCCCGCCGCAGTTTCTCCCTCTAACCAACGCGCTTTGTGCCGGTTGCCATCAAGAATGGGTCGCTAATGCTCCCTGGACCTCAGCTTCCCCACCTGCCCTAAGGGAAGGACCACGGTTCCCATCTCTACCTGGCGACGTCTGGGCCTCGGTTTCCCCATCTGCCCAGTGGGAAAGTGCCCCACCTCCCTATCCGGCCTTCTCTGGGCCTTAGTTTCCCCACATACTAGGCCAGAGAATCCTGGCTGTGCCACATCAGAACCAATGGCTGGCTTCCGGACCCCAGTCTCCCTATTTACCCCACCGACAGACACGTCTCTTCTCCCGCCCTGGGCACTGTTGGGCAGGGAACGCAGGTGGGACGACCCAGTGTAAGCAGAACAAACTGGGCGCACCCATTCCTTTGTGAGACTCAGCTTATAAATCAATCACTGTCACAGTGATTGAACTGTTCCTGCCAGGGATGTGAGGGGAGCGGGGTACGAGAGGCTGGCTTCTTCGTACCCGAACCCTTGCCCTCTGCCCCCGGGGGTGCTCAATAAAGGAGGGCAATGCAAGCCGCGGCTCACCGGCGGCGGAACCTTCGTGCCGGCGCGCGCGTTTCCGGCCGGCGCC